TGTGTGTGTGTGTGTGACACAAAACCAAGGGACAAGAACTACTTACAAAATAAGAGCTAAAGCCGCAGCTCATACCACAAATCTCTGTCTCTCTACCTCTCCCTCCCCTAATCCTCTTCACCCCCCCTCTCCCTCCCTTTTCCCTAAAATAATTCGAGGCGCAACTTATGGTCAAACATCCCCTCAACAACAGAGCATAGGTTCTCCAATTTTTGCACAAAGACGAGAATCAATTTATCTTAATAGATCAACATTATTTTAAAACACCTGCTAGCTGTTTTCTAGAAAATTCCTAAGTAAATACTAATTAAAAATCCAAAAAGGTGGTTTCTACAATTTTTTTATGTTTACTGGTGGGGCAATATTGCTTTTAATAGCAAAGCCGTCTTGCTTTTTATTGGGACATTATGCTTATCGAACGCATGTTTTGAGAACCATCAGTGCACACAATGTGTTCACTATAAAAATGATTTCTTGTAATAAGTTATACAACTAAAAATTGTCATTGATAAGCTGTGACGTAGGCCATATGCCTAATCAAAATGGGTGTTAGAAGCGGGAAATGCTGTGAACTATCCCATTTTACGTGTGACTGAGATTTCAAGTGTTTTATATCAATTTATGAAAAGAAGTTTTTTAATCTAGACCCAATTGGTCTGGAAAAATATGATTTAGTTTTAAGACAAATTGATACAAATTGCTGATTAAAGTATGGATGAGATTGATTCACCTGCTTAAAGAGATATTTGAGAATAAGAGAAAGAAGTTGGGGGAATAAAGTGAGATGGGGATAAGACAGATATGTTTGGGGGATACAGTGGGAGACTCCAGTTCTAGTTTAAATGTGAAAGAAACAAAAGAACTTGTCGTTGATTTTAGAATAAAGAAACTGCCCCTGCAGCCACTCAAAATGAAATGTGAAAACATCGAGCAAGTGTCAGACTATAAGTATTTGGGTGTTACAATAGACAACAAACTCAACTGGCGTGTCCACACTTCTCTCCTGCATAAAAAGTGAACAAAAGACTATTTTTTCTAAGAAAGCTAAAGTATTTTAAAGTTGATAAAACATTGATGTCCATGTTCTACCATTCAACCATAGAAAGTATGATCAATTTTTGTATAACAGCATGGGCCGGGAACACAAGACAACAAGATAAAGAAAAATTAAATCGACTAATACGGAAAGCATGCAAAATTTCAACATCTTCATTCCCCTACTTGGATGAATTGTACATAACAGCTTGCACTAAGAAAATTAATTCCATCTTTTCAGACAACAAACATCCCTTGTTCCCTCAAATAAAAACATCAGTCAGAAGTAAAAGACCCATGCTTCTGATCTGTAACAAAGAAAGATACAGAAGGTCATTTTTACCATCATCTATCAAAATGCTTCCATCTTAACCATCTTGTTTAGTGTACTTATGACCTTAGCGCATGCATCAAAATAACATTGAGTGTGTATCTAGCTTACGATTATTATTGTTTATATTGCTGCTCATTTATATTGTGCATGTGATTGTAAGCCTACTTGTGTGTGCATGTGTGTGCACGTGTGTACGTGTGTGAGTGTGTGTGTGTGTGTGTGTGTGTGTGTGTGTGTGTGTGTGTGTGTGAGTGTGTGTGTGTGTGTGTGTGTGTGTGTGTGTATGTGTGCGTGTGTGTGTGTGTGTGTGTGTGTGTGTACTCGTGGTGGAACACCAAACCAATGTGCCAGGATCTGGACAATAAAGATGTATCTTATCTTATCTTTTCTTAGATTCAAGTAATTCAAGTAAGTAAGTAAGTGGAAGGAGAATAATACAGATAAGTTGGGGGGAGGGGGGTGGGTGTCTAGTCAGCGTGAGTGCTGCTACCATAATGATAGTAGACGGTACTACCTGCAGCTGGTCTCACTGCCTTGTAGTTGCTTACGGGAGTATGAAAGGCTAAGGGAGTAAACCCTAAACAAATCCGGAGGGAGGGCCCCTAAGGCAGTCGACACGGAGGAATAATCCGATCTATCTTCTGGCAGCCCCTGTCACTCTACTGGTTCCAAATGTATTGACCACGTCGCTCCTTTGGACTAAATCAGCAAAGTCGAGAGGGGGTTCGTGCAAACTGGGCAAGGCACGTTCTCCATACTGTCAGGCCCGGGCATTTAGCTTAGTCAAGATTTCTAGATTTCTGGAAGGACGTTGTAAAAGAGCAAATACAGCGAATCAGACCCACAGCTCAACCACAGCTACAACAGCATTTATATGATTATGGAGAGGACACTTCATCCTTGTTGTGACGAGCAAGGGAAAAAACACGGGAGGTGGCAGTTTACAGGTTATAAGACATCCTTATTTGGCGAGACAGGATGTCGCCACGGGTAACCTTTGACGAGGGTAGTGACTATTCAATCGCACTGATCAGCTAACGCCCGTCTCAAACTGAACAGCCCCCAGTCAGTAAGGTGCTGATCCGCCACGTCTGTTTGCTTCTATGGGTGTATGGAGCTAAGACAAAAACTGAAAGGCACCAGGCAAAAACGAGTAAAACTAACCCGTGGAAACTGGGGACCGGGAATGTTAGAACAATGACAACCGGATTGGACACTACCAATCTGGAGAAAACAGAGGACATCAGAAAGACAGCAATCATAGACAGGGAGCTCACAAGCACTTTCTTTAATTCATTGCGATAATTTGTTCCGTAGGCATTGATTATTTTTACATCTACTCTTGGTATTGATATTTTCCCTGGAATTTATAAATCAATACACCGTAAGTTGCATCTTTCTTTTGTCTGTTGCTGTAATCGTCATACTCCACTTTCCATAGTGCTGGTAAGCTTTTGTAAACATCGATACACTCCAATTGAAAAGCCCTGTTTTGTTCTTTATCAGACACTCCAGACATGATGCCGATATGAAATCTGGAAGAAAAATGCTTATTGCACAGTTTGATTGGCGGTCGCCACACACAGTCAACTAAATTGTGTAAGCAAGTAGACTTGAACAATAACATTTCAAACTGGTTTTGATTGACTCAATGTCATTGCGCGTCCTCAATATCTCTCATGCATGGTCAGTGTAATTGTCAATTCCGAGTATTGACAATTAGATTGCACAATATAATTGATCGTGTATGGGCCGCTTAAAGGAAGAGGAAGGCCGGGCAAAAAGTGGATCGAGGGTGTCATGTAAACCAAGCATAATATCACAGCTGAAAGAGCAGCTGTAGAGTTGGCCTTCCATAGAAAACTGCATCTCCCCTTGACGCTTAACGACGACAGAGGATGAGAAAGTAATAGTAAGTATGTATAGTATGATAAGGACAATAGCAAGCGTACATTGCGTTGGGAGGTGAGCAGCAGACACGGAGTGAGTGGTCAGGGGCCAGCGGTTGCTCTCCTCGTGATTTGCCTCCCTACCGGCCATCTGGGCCTCGGTGTTTGTTGTTGTTCATTTTTCATGTTCATGTTTGAGAGGAGATTGTGCTCACGGTTGCTGGTTGTAGGCTGACAGACAGTAACACACACACACACACACACACACACACACACACACACACACATACATACACAAACACACACACAAACACAAACACATACACACACACACACACACACACACAAACAAACACACCATACTGTGCTCACAAGTTGTTGCTTGTCAGACCGCGGCATACACGCACAACCGTCAGCTGGGTCACCCACCCTCAAAGGTAGGCTGTTTGGCGTTATTTGTGTGTGTGAGAGTATCTTTCTCTTTTCCTGCCTGTGTGTCTCTCACATTGAAGCTTTCTATCTATCTATCTATCTATCTATCTATCTATCTATCTATCTATCTATCTATCTTTAAAATCTATCTATCTGTCTATCTATTTATCTATCTATCTATCTATCTATCTATGAATCTATCTATCTGTTAACCTATACTATCCCCTTCTTTCTATCATTCTCCCTATATATTCCCTCTTTTCATCTCCCTATCTCATTTCCCCTCTCTTGTTTGTTGATTTGTTGATTTCATTTTTTTTTTTTTTGCTTTCAAAATCTTAATGAAGTAGTGGGTAGATGGCGGGTGCTCTGGTGTGGTTTGCTTTATCTTTCATATCTACCACTACCGTCCTTATTCTCCCTCCGTGGGTTGTTAGCGGGTGCTCTTGTATTGTTTTCTTCTTCTTTCTTATCGAATATCTATCGTTATTATCTCCCCTTCTCCTTTTTGTGTTTGTTACTCTCTTGTAACACCTGTAATCTTAGGCACTTATGTGACTAAATTGTTTTGCAAGTGCCGTCAAACGCTTGCTAAACGAAACACATTCGTATAGCGAAACGCAGTTTGCTATGGTAACTTCTACTTCTACTGGCATGGGAAAAACTGTACGTCGTGACATTCACAGTGCCAAAGAGAATATAAAAACAAAACAGTAGGCTGTGACAGTGCCAGGGAGAATGCAAAAACAAAAGAGTCATCTGTTGTGGTGCAGATACGCGGGTTTGGCACACCTTTCAACTCCGCCAGCTTATAACTTAATTTAGTTTTATTAAGAGTTTTACGCCGCTAGCAACCCAAGAAGTTGAAGAAGGCCATATAAGTTCTGAAGATTATAGTTGTTACCAAAGAGAAAGAAACATTTAAAAAGAAGGGGGAGAAATATGGACGATATAAATCTGTTGAGAAAGAAGGAACAAACACACCAGAGCACCCGCTAATCACGCACCAGTTTATTCAAGAGCCGGCACCCCAACTATCAACCAACCAATCATCCATCCATTCATCTATAAACCAATCATCCATCCATCTATCAACAAACTAACCAAACATCCATCAAGCTATAAACCAACAAACAAATCATCCATTCATCTATCAATCAACTAATCACCCATCCAACTATAAATCAACAAACAAATCATTCATTAATCTTTCAACCAACCAACAAATCATCCATCCATCTATCAATAAATCACTCACCCATCTATTAACCAATCATCCATCCGTATGTCAACCAATCATCCATCCAACTATCAGCCAACAAAAAAATCATCCATCCATCTATCAACAATCATCCATCCAACTATCAACCAATCAAACATCCATATATCAATCAATCAGCCATCCAATCAATCAATCAGTCAATTAATGAACCATCCATATATCAACCAATCAATCCAGTCAATGAACCATCCACCAATCAATCAAGATTATAACCAATGAAACCACATCTTTGTTTGTGGTTGGAGGGTGCTTTGGTGGGGTTTGCTCCTTCTTCTCTACTTCTCTAAATTATCAAGCATCTGCTATTGTCTTTTATTTTTTTCTCCTTCTTTTCATTGTATGTTACTCTCGTAAAGCGGATAGTTGGAGAGCGCCACTGGTAGTTCCTCCTTTTTAAAAATTTTCCCTCAGTTGTTCAGTCTGTCTAACATTTTCCCCGAAACTAAACGACCATTATTCTGTCGATGTTGTACTTCTCTTTCCTCAAACACACACGCGGGCGCGCAAACTCTCTAGCAAGTCCTCTAATCTTCAGCACTGATAATACGACCGATTTGTGTTGCAAGTGGGGTATAAACTCTGTACTCTTCTACTCTTCACTAAAACGAAACTTCCCCACAGATGAACCCCGTCGGCACGGAGAACCCGCATAACAACAAACACTTCATTGACATCTATGAGACTTTCCGTCCCGATTATCCAAAGGAGATCTTTTACAGTATATACCACTTCATGATGGACGTCCGCGCCAACTTTGACCTAGCCATGGACGTCTGCGCAGGCGCGGCAAAGGCCTCCAAGCCTTTGTGTACCTACTTCAAACAGGTAAGAGCGGGTGGTTGGCGGATGCTCTGCTTTGATTTGCTTCTTCTCTCCTGTCAAACTCTGATAGGTCCTATTTCTTTACTTCCCCTTCTGTTGTTTCTGTCTCTTTGTCTTACTTTTTACAAGCACTAAATACAGACAATATTGTGTCGATGTGCTTCTCTTTACTCAAGCAAACGAACATCCTATCAAACATCTATCGTCCTTACCTCTCCTCTTTTTATTTTTTTCTTGCGTTTGTTCCTTTCTTGTAAAATTTCTAATCCCCCCCCCCCTCACCCCCCCTCTGTCCCATCTCTTTCTCTTTCCTTCATCACCCCCACTTCCCTCTCTATCTCTGTAGCCCTTCTCTCTCTCTCCCCCTCCTCTCTTTACTCCAACCTTCTCGTCCCTCTCTCTCCTCGCCCTCTCCATATCTCCCCAAGGTGATGTTCACAGAGAGTAGCGAAGAGTTTCTCTCCCTCTTCCCCCATCCTTCTCCCTCCCCCTCTCTCTCTATATATATTATTAATAATTCTATCCCTCTATCTCTCCCTCAGGTTATGGCCTTAGATATCAGTGAAGAGTTCCTCTCACTCTCTCTCTCCCCCTACCTCTGTCCCTCTCCCTCTCTACTTCTCCCACTCTCTCTGTCTCTCTTTCCCTCTCCCCCTCTCTGTCTCTCTCTCCCTCTCCCCCTCCCCCTCCCTCTATCTCTCTTTTCTATCTATCTATCTATCTATCTATCTATCTATCTATCTATCTATCTATCTATCTATTCCCAGGTGATCGCCTTAGACAGCAGCGAAGATTTCCTGTCTCGCGGCCCAGACGGAGTGCCCAACCTGATCTACCAAGTGGCCGACTGCTCCAGGCCCCTCACCTTCCTCCGGTCACAGTCCGTGGATCTGGTCAATGTGGCCTCAGCCTTGAGGTTCCTCGAACGTCGCAGGTATATCTGGTGGGGAGGCTGGGAGGGGGAGGGGGAGGAGGTGGGTGGGGTGAGGGTTGAGTTGCTGGAGGTTGGAGGAGGGTAGGGGTTGAGGTGGAAGGGTGTGGGGGGTGGTGGGAGGGTGGGGGAAGAGATGGGTGGGAGGAAGAGGTGAGTGGGGTGAGTGTGGAGTTGCTGGAGGTTGGAGTAGGATACGGGTTGAGGTGGGAGGGGGGTGAGGACGGTTTGGTGGGTGGGTGGGTGAGTGGATGCTGAACTGGTGGGTTGGTGTGGGTTGGTTGGTTGGTTGGTGGATTATTAGATAGGTTGGTGGGTTGGTGAACGGATGCTGAGTTGGTGGGTGGGTGTGGGGTGGGAACCTTGAGGGTCTCCTTTCGATTAACAACTGTTTTCGGATAACCATGTTCTCTTTTAGTGGACTCCATTGTAGTTTCATCATTGGCGTTTAGGGCGGTTGGCGGGTGCTGTGGTGGGTTTTGATCCTTCTTTCCTATCAAACTTATGTTATCATCTTTTTATAATAATAATAATAATAATAATAATAATAATAATAATAATAATAATAATAAATAGCATTTATACTGCGCATTTCCATTTTCTAAAAGATGCTCAATGCGCATTACAACGAAAAAGACATCACATCTTAAAAATTAATCGACATGCGTGTACATAAAACAAAGTGTTATACATGATATAACATTAATGTAATATATGTGTCAAAATTTATATTATGAGAAAAACAATCTCGCAGTGAGGTTTGAAATGTGTTCACTAAAAATATACAATGCAATAAAAATTCACGAACGGTCACAAAAAAGTTCAAACGTGAGTAACTAGAAACATTCTTTAAAACAATCATTCTATACAGATAGAAAACATTTCCGTTCTCTCTCTCTCTCTCTCTCTCTCTCTCTCTCTCTCTCTCTCTCTCTCTCTCTCTCTCTTTCTCTCTCTCTCTCTCTCTCTCTGTCTCTCTCTCTCTCTCTTTTCTCTCTCTCTATCTCTCTCTATTTCTCTCTCTCTATTTCTCTCTCATTCTCACACGCTATTTCTTCAGACTCATAGTTTGCATACACATGCATATGTATGTATATCACAGAACATCATTATGACTGGTATGCTTTTGTGAATAAAAAATGCTTCAGCTGATTTTTGAAAATGGAAATTGTTGTTATTCTGGAGTACAGATTCTACTGCGTGACGTCGGCGGCCTAGTGGTGAGGCTATTGAACATGTAATTGTGACATTGCAGGTTCAGGGGTTCGAGCCTCAGTTCGGTCCCACGTTGTATTCTTGGGAAAAGCACTTTACACGAATTTCTCATTGTGGCCCGGTCCTTTCGGAATGGACGTTAAACGCGAAGGTGTGGGCTCTTAAATAACCTAATAATGTTGATGAGGGTGTTAAACCTATACCATTTCACCATATCTGACAGTGTTGTTGAATCTATACTATTTCTACTTACCTTATAGTGTTGATAAGGGAGTTAAACCTATATCCCTGTGTGCAAGTTGCGCACGTTAAAGATCCCTTGGTGGTCTGAAATCGATAAGAGTAGGCTTGGGCCGCCACCCGGGCAAAAAATCAAAATTTCCTACCAACTGAAAATATTAGGTGTGTCCCGCGCGCTCATATGACCTTATGCAGTTGCGAGCGCCGTAAAACACTTTACAAAAACAAACAAAAAAACCTATATCATTTTCCCATTCCTAGTAGTGTTGACAGGGGCATTAAATCTCTACCACGGGCTTTCGTGGCCGTGAGGTTAAATTGTTCACCTCTCATTCAAGAGGTCCAGAGTAAGAATTCAGAATATCGACGAAACATTTTCTTCTCTCTAATTTACCCTTTTCACAGCCTTTCCTGCTCTCTAACAATGTTCTGCTGTCCGCTTTCTTCTCCACTTTCTGCCCCCACCCCCTCACCTCCCTTGCCCCCTCCTCTGGGCTCCTTACGCTTTCTGCAGCCTTTCTTCCGCTACTCCTTGGCTCCTTCTTGCTGTTGTCTTTCAGCCACACCCCTGATCTACTGGTAGAAAAGATCTACACCTAGCCTTCTCGGACAAGGCGAAAACTCTCGGATGTCCTGTGTGCAAGTTGCACACGTTAAAGATCCCTTGTCGGTCCAAGATCGATAAGAGTAGGCTTTGGCCGCCACCCGGACATAAGTCGAAATTTCCTACCAACTGAAAATGTTTCGTGTGTCCCGCGCGCTCATTTGACCGTATGCAGTTGCGACGTCGTAAAACACTTACCAAAAAAATAGTGTTGATAAGGGCGTTAAACCTATACCATTTCACCATACCTAATAGTGTTGATCTGAACGTTAATCCTGTACCATTTCTCCATGCCTAGTAGTTGTGGGTGGTTGGTGGGTGCTCTGGTGTGGGTTGCTCCTTCTTTCCTATTAAAAAGCTATCGTCCTCATCTCCCCTCCTTCATTTTTGTGTTTGTTAATCTCTTGTAAAATCTCCAATCTTTGGCATTTATCTGACCTTATTGTGTTGCAAGTGCCGTAAAACTCTTACTAAAACATAACCTAATAGTTTTGATAGGGGCGTTAAAACCTCTACCATTTTCCCATTTTTTCAGATTTTACTGCGAGGTAGACCGGGTCCTGAAGCCTGGTGGCTGTTTCTCGCTCATGTGTGTGACCATCCCACGACTCACGTGCGCAGACGGCGGGGCCTACACCATCATCAAACAGGTCAGGGGCGGGTCGTAGATAGGTCAAAGTTCAAAGGTAGATGTGTGGGTGGTTGGCGTGGCGGGTGCTGTAGTGGACATTCTTTTTCTGTTCTATCAAACGTCTGTCGTCTTTATCTCTCCTCCCTTCGTGTGTGCGTGTGTGTGTGTGTGTGTGTGTGTGTGTGTGTGTGTTTGTGTGTGAGTGAGTGTGTGTGTGTGTGTGTGTGTGTGTGTGTTACTCTCTTGTAATACGTCTAATCTTCGGCTTGTCTGTGGCCTTATTATTGTGTTACAAGCGCCGTAAAGCACTTACTAAAAAGGTTTCGGGAGACGGCATAAAAATCTCAAAATCTTTGCTTTTTCATCTGTTTACAACTTGTCTATCTCTACCCTGAGTGACACGAGTGACAGCGGGTGGTTGGAGGGTGCCACTAGTAGGTCCTATTTCTTTACTTCCATCTGTTATTTCTGTCTGTCTGTCTTTACTGATTACGGATGAAACAATCAAGGAGGATCGTAGGGGCGCTGTGTGACATAAAGCCTCGTCAAGCGCCTCCACTTTTCACGTTCTTTGCGAGCGCCTGAGTTTGGGTGATTGATTTCCCTGTCCACTCTGCAATGTTGTCGGTCCATCTCTTTATCAATCTGTCTTACTTGTTCCTAAATGACCGTTATTTGGTCGATATGCTTTTTTTAAACATAAATTGCAGCAAACCCTAAGTGACAACTTGTCTGTCTCTCCGATGAGTGACAACTTGTCTCTCTCTCTCCCCTCAACGTGTCTCTCTCTCTCTCCCTCTCCATTGAGTGACAACTTGTCTGTCTCTCTCCTCAATTTTTCTCTCTCTCCAATGAGTAACAACTTGTCTCTCTCTCCAATGAATAACAACTTGTCTGTCTCTCTCCTCAATTTGTCTCTCTCTCCAATGAGTAACAACATGTCTCTCTCTCCAATGAGTAGCAACTTGTCTCTCTCTTTCCAATTAGTAACAACTTGTCTCTCTCTCCAATCAGTAACAACATGTCTCTCTGTCCAATGAGTAACAACTTGTCTGTCTCTCCAATGAGTAACAACTTGTCTCTCTCTCCAATGAGTAACAACTTGTCTCTCTCTCCAATTAGTAACAACTTGTTTCTCTGTCCAATCAGTAACAACATGTCTCTCTGTCCAATGAGTAACAACTTGTCTGTCTCTCCAATGAGTAACAACTTGTCTCTCTCTCCAATGAGTAACAACTTGTCTCTCTCTCCAATTAGTAACAACTTGTCTCTCTGTCCAATGAGTAACAACTTTTTCTCTCTCTCCATTGAGTGACAACTTGTCTGTCTCATACCTGACTGACAACTTGTCTTTTTTGTTTGTTTTGTTTTTGTAAAGTGTTTTACGGCGCTCGCAACTGCATAAGGTCATATGAGCGCGCGGGACACACCTAATATTTTCAGTTGGTAAGAAATTTTGAATTTTGCCCGGGTGGCGGCCGAAGCCTACTCTTATCGATTTTAGACCACCAAGGGATCTTTAATGTGCGCAACTTGCACACGGGCCCTCCGAGATTTTTTCACCCTTGACAACTTGTCTGTCTCATACCTGACTGACAACTTGTCTGTCTCATACCTGACTGACAACTTGTCTGTCTCATACCTGACTGACAACTTGTCTGTCTCCCCCTTGAGTGACAGAAGCTGCTGAAGGACGTGTTCGAGAAACATCGGCGTCGGATGGAACAAATCTACAGCGGCCTCGACAACTGCGATATTATGTACCCTTACTACAAAAAGTAAGTGGGCGGTCGGCGAGTGCTCTGGTGGGGTTTGGTCCGTTTTTCTATCAAATATCTATCAACGCTTTTATTTTCACCTTCTTGTCCTGGTCAGTGTGTTAGTGTTCGGGCGCTTAAGTGGCTACTTGCACTGTATGTTTTAAGGGAGGACAAGAATGTTTCTGGGTGTTCAACTCCTCAAGGGTCTGCTGGGGGAAAGATGTAAACAGTAAAGTGTATAGAGCTCGTTGGTGAGTGCGAATGTTCTCTGTACAAATGCTATTGGTTATTATATTATAATGATTAATGCTATTTGTTGTTGTTATTATAAATAGCAGTAGCAGTAGCAGTAGCAGTAGAAGTAGCAGAGTAGCAGTAGCAGTAGCAGTAACAGTAGCAGCAGCAGCAGCAGCAGTAGCAGTAGTAGAATTAGTATAATTACTACTCCTCACACACGGTTGAATGACGGATGGTCTGGTGTTGACTGCTACTTCTTTCGTCCTTATCTCTCCTCCTTAAACTAGTATGCTGCTTTTTAGTATTGCTTCTGAACTAAACTTCGGCACTCATATGACATATTATTTTTGCTGCCAATGTCGTAAAATTCTAACTTACTAGAACTAAACAAAAACCTTAGGCACTAAGCTGACCTATTTGTGTTTCAAATGCCGTAAACACTCCAACTGCAACACAACACCTACGCAAACTTTTTACTTAAATTCTTGTAAAAGTTTTAACTAAAACTAAACTGATAAGGTTCCTCTTTTATAATAATATGGCTTATTTGTACTGCTAGTGTCGTAAAAGTTGTACTCACACGATACCCCCCCCCCCATTTTACTGTACAACACTCCCATATACACTCCCTCCCTTCCTAAACAACATCTCCTATACAACTCCACCTCACCCCTCCTAAAAAACACCTCCTGTACACCCCCACCCTTCTCCCCTACAACCCCAACTCTCCATTTACAACCCCTCCTCCTTCCTATGCTCACCTCCCCCTTACACCCTCCCTTCCAATCCTCTCCTATTCAACCCCCACTCCCTATAATACAATTCTTCACCCCATCCTATACCATTACCCTCCCCCCTTCAATACACCACC